CATACAGGTTCAAATCCATGGATACCCAGCCTATAGCTGAATACTTTTTGGGTTGATCAGATAGATGCTGTAGTGTCCACCTGAGCGCCAAACAGTTCAGTTCCCAGGTTAGTCACTAGATGGCCTTGCTGGAGAGGATCAAACAGTTCAGTTCCCAGGTTAGTGACCAGATGACCATGCTGGAGAGGACCAGGTGCCCAGGGTTTTCCGGCTGCCATATTAAGCCCAGCTGAAAGCCGAAACCTTCCTTCTGTGATCTCAGAGCCCTCTCACTGGGCTGGGGTCCATGGTTACGGTATGCCCCAGAGAAGCCTGTCCAAATGTGAAATTGCAGGCAAGTATTCTCATCATTGTAAATGCTGGGAAGCCAAGCCCCGCGGCCCAACACTGGAATATTTACTGGAATATTTTAACACCTCAGATGGTTCTCAGATGGAATGGCCAGGGGGCCTGCCTGAACCCTCTCACAGTCACACAGGTACACACTGGTGTGCTTCTACTGCAGAAGTACTGTGGGAACCAGCCAAGCCCTCGTGGTCCTCTGTAGCTCAGCTGGTAGAGCACGGCGCTTGTAACGCCAAGGTAGTGGGTTCGATCCCCGGGACCACCCATACACAAAAAAATGTATGCACGCATGACTGTAAGTCGCTTTGGATAAAAGCGTCTGCTAAATGGCATATTAAGCCCCAAATTGTTTCTCTTGTCACCATTGCTCTGCTCCTCCACACACAACACACACACGCACACACACATTCATGCATGCCCTCCCTCCCTAGTCAACACAGCACTAGAGCTCTTAGACCTCAATATCTCTGCCTTCACAAACACAGGAAGGAGAGGTATTACTGATACCCCTCTCGTCCCCCTCTACTCCCCCCTCGCCACTCCCCTCCTCCCCATCTTCTCCCTAGCTGACTGTGTAAGGACAGGAGCCTTCCCCGGTTTCATTAACAGGAATATTATCAGGCAATTATCAGGCAATCACCACTCCCCTCTCTCCACATCATCTGGGGCATCAGGGGGCCTTATCTGAGGCAGAAGCTACAGAGCGCTGAAAGAGACATAAGAGACAGAGACAGAGAGAGACATAAAGGGAGACAGATGGAGACAGAAAGGGAGACGGAGACAGAGAGAGACAGAGAGAAGGGATGCCATGTGGTCTGCATTTCAGGGTAATCCCTGCTCTCTGGTATGCTGGCTCTCTCTGCCTCTCTGCCTTCTTACCGTCTGATTGGAGCAGAATCAGAGAAGCAGTGAAACACGAGCCTCTGTGCTGTTTCTTCCCAAACCCACTGTGACTGCTCCCATGGCCAGGGGATATGTGCCCTGATATCTGGGATGATAGATGTGCTGATCTATGGCACATAAATTGTGTTTATAGGTGTCAGTGTTGTGGGAAAAAGCCTGGGGGAGTAATGTACCTCACACATACACGCACACACACACACACATAACTGCATAAACACACACACACACATACACACAAACACATACATTTTCTATAGAAATGTGTGTCCTGCGGTGAGGGTGTGTATGGGTGTTGGTGGAGGGTACCAGCTGTAAGGACAGTCATGTCGTGAAGGCTTATCTCTGGAGTTTCAGTGACATTAACAAGACAGAAGCTCATTGTGCAGATTAGGTGCCATTTCTATGTTGAGTGACACCTATACACACAAGTAGCCTTCTTCTCTTTTCTATACATGTAGGGTTAATGTAGCTGTTATCTTATATGGATACCCTGTCTCTATGTATATTTATTACATACCGATAAGGTAAAGTCTCTATATAAGTGTTAGTTATCGTTTCTCTTTATTTCATCTTCTATTCTATGTATTTGACAACGTGAACATAAACAAAGAGAAGCTCTCCCTCTCTCCCTCTCTCCCTCTCTCTGGGTATGGGTACAACAAGTCTGTGGCAGGACTCTGTAGGCTACTGTAGTCAACCCCTGGTCCCTGATCCCTGGTCCCTGATCCCTGGTCCCTGATCCCTGGTCCCTGATCCCTGGTCCCTGATCCCTGATCCCTGGTCCCTGATCCCTGATCCCTGATCCCTGGTCCCTGACCCCTGGTCCCTGATCCCTGGTCCCTGGTCCCTGATCCCTGGTCCCTGGTCCCTGCCATTCCTCCTGCCTGCCACTGGGTTATTCCACGAAATGAGTGCATTTTGAGTCCCATTTGATATTTTAAGTAAAATGTGTGTACCAATATCACATTTAAAAGAATGTTATATTAAACGAAGTGCCTTTTAATATAGACCACAATCAGAGCGGGTCGAGCATAACACGTCAGCTCTGTTACCCATACATAGACAGGCTAGAAATGTACAAAAAATTAAGTTAAGCATGCATTCAATTGCCACTCCCTATTGCACACAACAAGCTTCCATTCCCCCTGTCACAAGGGGATTTATGGGGGATTTAAGATAAAATCGTCAACCCTGTTACGGTCAACCCTGTTACTTTATTTGGCACTTCATAGACACTGACTATAGTATTTTTTTATTTAACTTCTTGAAATGGGAAAACATGTTTTTTATGAGGTCAACATGACAGATGGATAAAAGTAAGTGAAATCATTTTTTTACCAAGTTACACTTCTCAAAAGGCACCGAATTGGAGGTACGACCACATTACTAAAAACAGCTGGAAGGAATCAGGCCTGGGTTTGGCTTCAGGGCACAACTAGCTGGACTCAGGATATTGACAGGATATTTAAAACATTTTATGTTGGGACCCAGTCAGCTGCAATAATGATATCAAGCCAACACACACACACACACACACACACACACACACACAGACAGACAGACAGACAGACAGACAGAGCATGAAATGAACATGTAACCCTCTTATCAGAGTTATTTTCAAAAGAAATATGACAAACAAGAGTATAATCTTTGACACAGCATATATTTCATTTTAACATACATTCATACGCAGTATAGTCTTCTTCAGTGTATACGTCTTTACAGATCTATGTTTCTATAATGAATAGCATGTTACTATAGAAAAGCTTGGGCTTATGGTGGTTGTACATGGTAGCCACACATAGGTCAGTCCCTGTGCCCTGGCAGTGGCCTGGGGAAACTGTGTAGTGAATGGTACTGTGTGGTATATGGTGTGGTGTGTGGTATATGGTGCAGTGTGTGGTATATGGTGTGGTATGTGTTGTGGTGTGTGGTATATGGTGCAGTGTGTGGTATATGGTGTGGTGTGTGTGTGTGCATGTGTATTGTATGTTATGTATTTAGCGAGTGTGGTGTGTGTATGGTATATGATGTGACGGGGATGTGTGTGGTACGTGCTTGTGTGTGTGTGTGTGTGTGTGTGTGTTGTGTGTGTTGTGTGGTAATGTGTAGGGACCGTGATGTGTGTGTGTAGGCTTTGTTGTATGTGGTAATGTGTAGGGACCGTGATGTGTGTGTGTGTGTGTGTGTGTAGGCTTTGTTGTATGTGGTAAGGTGTAGGGACCGTGATGTGTGGTATGATATGTGCGCTCGGAGAGAAAAGTGCTGAAGTCGTCTTGCACAGCATCCCTGCTCCACCCAACCCTATCTGTATGTATGTATCTGTATGGGCAAACTCCCTCTTGGTCTGACACAGACTAAGGCCGGATTATGTCCTATTGTGGGTTATAGGCGTTGAGGTTTTTAAAGGCAATTTCCGATTGAGCAGACATATGCAGCGTTTATCGTGAATGGGTTACATTTCAGAGCTGCAATGCCTATATCCCACGATCAGATTGAATCCCGGCCCATAAGTGATTCTGTGAGTAATTCTGATTTTGTGACTGATTTGATGAGTGGAGCAGCATCAGGGCTATACAGGGACAAATGGCCACACAACTAAACCGCTACTCAACCCCAACACAACACGGTCATGTACACCTGGACCACAAATCATGTCTGTCAGTCAGCATTCCTACTCTGGGCGGTAAAGTCTGTTCTCTCAGACCGACAGGCAGGCGTCTCTCCCTTTACATCCAGTAAAGCAGCAGCAAAGATGGAGGGCAAACTCAGCTCCCCCCCCTCTCCCCTTCCTAGGTCCAATATGCCCCACCCTCAGTTCCCCTCTCCCCTTCCTAGGTCTAATATGCCCCACCCTCAGTTCCCCTCTCCCCTTCAGTCAACTCTCACCCACCCCCACCCCAAATCACTCGCAACAATATCAAATAAGTTAAAAAACAAACACAACAATTAGAATCAACTGTGAGGGAGGGAGGGAGGGAGGGAGTGAAAATACTCTCTGTTGGGACTTGGGACTTGGAACACATACACTGAGTATACCAAACATTAAAAAACATTTTCTGAATATTGAGTTGCACCCCCCACTTTTGCCCTCAGAAAAGCCTCAATTCGTCGGGGCATGGACTCAAGGTGTGGAAAGCATTCCACAGGGATGCTGGCCCATGTTGACTCCAATGCTTCCCACAGTTGTGTCAAGTTGGCTGAATGTCCTTTGGGTGGTGGACCATTCTTAAACCACACAGGAAACTGTGTGTTCTTAGTTCTTGACACAAACTGGTACGCCTGGCAGCTACTACCATACCCCGTTCAAAGGCATTTACATTTTTTTGTCTTGCCCATTCACCCTCTGAATGGCACACATACACAATCTCTTCCCCTTCATCTACACTGATTGTAGTGGATTTAACAAGTGACATCAATAAGGAATCATAGCTTTCACCTGCATTCACCTGGTCAGTCTATGTCACCTAATGTTTTGTATACTCAGTGTATATTTGCCTTTTTAGTTTTTACATCCGGTGCATGTGTTAGATTTTCCTTTAACATTGTATGAACATGTCCTCTGTCTGGCTGTCTCTGTCTGGCTGTTCCCGTGGTCTGTTGTAAAAGGAATCAGGGTGGCTTTGAAATAGGGGGGGGGAAAACCACAAACACCCCTCCACCCCTCCCTTTCTCCCTCCCTCCCCAAGTGCAGGTGAGGAGGGAGAGAGTGGGGAAATTGTTTGGGTCTCCATTGGGGGTTTCCATGGTGATCACCGGCAGGTGTGCATCTCCACCATCTTGCGGCACTGTTTGCACTTGACGTAGCAGCACCAGTGGAACTTACAGCTGCACCTGTCTACCACCTCCACCTCCTCTGTCTGGAAGCCCCGGCCGCAGCACATCAGCTCACAGCCGTCAATGGCCTTCGATGTCCGGTTACACTGCCGCCCCGCTGTACCCAGCATGCCTGGTGTGCGCGGGTCGTGGTCACAGAAGTCAGGGCTGGGGTCAAGGTAGACCAGGTCTTCGTCTGTGTGAGGTTTGAACTGTGAGTTCCGTGGCACCAGGACCTTGGTGGTGCCCACCTTGCGCTGCTCCACCTCTGTGGCGCCGTCAAACTTCTCCTTGATGACGTTGCCCACCTTGCGGAATGGGGGCATGGCCTTCCAGCAGGTCTTCACCTCACAGGACCCTGACACGCCATGACACTTACACTCCACACGCATGTGGCTCAGGATGGCCTGCAGAGAGACAGAAAGAATGCATGTTTTTATCTCCTGTTCTCTTCTTTACCGTTGAATTTGCTAGGACAATTTAGTTTGTTGTGATATGTCATACCTTCCTCCCGGCCTCATTGTTGTGTAGGTTCATGAGTGCTTTGCTTGGGGACTGTCCTTTACTCCTCTCCCTCACGTCAATGAAGGACTGAGAGAAGGCCACTCCATATGCTATGTTATCACTACAGCCTGACCACTGGAACCCTGGAGGAAGGGAGAGAGAGAGAGAGACACAGAGAGAGAGAGATATGGAGAGAGAGAGACAGACAGAGAGAGAGACACGGATAGAGAGAGAGAGAGAGAGAGAGAGAGAGAGAGAGTTAGCAGTCAAACATCTGAGCTAAATGTGTGTGTGTGTGTGTGTGTGTGTGTGTGTGTGTGTGTGTGTGTGTGTGTGTGTGTGTGTGTGTGTGTGTGTCCTACCCTCTGGACTGACTCCGTGAACGTTGCGGTCGCAGCCACATTTCTCCAGCTCTCCGCTACTGCAGGCCCGGGTCACAGCAAATGCCACACTGGCTGCTGAGATGGCATACACAAAGGCTGCCTCCCGAGTGCCTGTCACAAACAAACAGGCAGACAATAAATACAAAACTACATTTATCACAGATCTGGCAGTAAAAGTCTGCTTCATGAGTTTTTATCCTCAGAAGTTAATAAAATTAGTTATTTATAATGAGCTGTACCCTGTGTGACAATCTTGCCGAAGACAGGCATGGTTTCCAGGGTGGAGCAATTCCATCTGCGGTTCCTGAACTGAAACTGGCACTCGTCTATGGCTAGCTGTGCCCCACGTCGCACAGCATCCATCACCTCCACACTGCGCTTACAGATCTGCACCTGGTTATAACAATGATCACAACATTACAGATCTGCACCTGGTTAGAATAAAGATCATAACATTACAGATCTGCACCTGGTTTGAATAAATATCATAACATTACTGATCTGCACCTGGTTAAAGAGAATGTTAAATGACTAAGGCTTGTATGTTGAATTCAAAGACTTGGACATAACTTCTATAACTTATGTACCATCTTGTCATACCCTGCCAACCTTACAAACCTGAAAATATGACCAACGTTTGTCATGGTAGATGTGTACCTGTCTCTGGATAAGTCCTCGCAGGCGTTCACATGTCTCCTCATCACTGATACTGCCCACCGACGACAGCTTAGCCAGGTACCTTACAGAGACACAGAGAAATATTAAATTAGACAGATAACAACACAATGACCCCTCCAATTACTTAGATTATATAAAAGTATCCATAGACAAACACAGATGCCTCAGTATGGGCTATGTATAGGTTTAGTTCTACAGCCTGATAGTGAGAAGTTTGGCGGTGAGAGTTGGCTCCCATGACGTTGTGGGAACGTTTTGGTCATCATGTTGAGAGGAAGGAAGGAGGTTTATCATCCACACCACCTCCAGGGCACACAGGTCACTCCTCTCTCCTTCAGTCCCATATCTCTTTGGGTAAAAGCACCTTACAGAAATAGGCCCATTTCATACGCTCATCACAGACACACTCTTCACCAGAACTTCCCACGGAGGGGCTGTCTGGGCCTTGTCTGTGGCCCTCCCTCTCTCTCTCTTTCCCTGTCCCTCACCTCACACTCCTCTTGCTCTCCCTCACCTTGCCCTCCTCCCTCTCTCTCTCTGTCAGTCTCTCTGTCCTTCTCTCCCTCCTATGTTGACAGGGTATCATTAGAAAAGGTTGATTGGGGTCTCTCACAGGGCTGATAGTCCACACACCTCCTTCTAGCCTTCCACCCTCACCACCCTTCCTCTACAGCCCAGATAACCTATTTCTCTCCCTCTCCCCCTCTCTCTCTCCCCATCTCTCTCTGTCTCTGTCTCTCTTTCTCTCACAGTCACCTCCTCTCCGCAATGGTCAGATAACCTCGACCGTGACCACTCGACCACATCCTCCCTCCGACAGTCTTGTCTATGCAGCAGGGTGACCTCACTCACTATCACACCACTGCTCCCTTCCTCTCCTCAGTCTGTCTGTCTGACAACAACAACCAATCGTGTTATATTCATGAAAGGGTACAGGCTCAGTTCATAACCAAACTGTCTACACCAACAGAGAAGATGGTAAATACTAAACAAATTACTGAACATACAGAATCGTATATGTTTCTCTCTTCAGTTTTGTCATGCACCTGAGAATAATGGCTGCATCATTCTCTTTATTTTAAAGTTCATCAGTTAAAGAATTATCTTCCCTCAATTTGTACATACCACTCTTCCTTCAATAAAATACATTGAAGTTCAACCTTAGCTATACAACAATAATACCCTCAACCTTGAGCTGTGTGCTCTGTCTGTTTGGGTCTACAGTCTCCACACATCCAACTGTTAAACTCAGTGTGATAAAGTCTCCTTTAGACTACCAGGCCTCTTCTGAACACTGGAGAATCATTGTCTGTCTGCACTGCAGCTGGTGAGACTCAGCATCTCTCCCAACACATAAACCTGTCCCCCTCAGTGTTCAATACCTCTGCACACACACACGCACAAAACACACACGCACGAGCGCATGCACGCAGGCAGGCACACATGCACACACACACACACACATACACACACACACACAAATGAAAGTACTCATAAAGCACCAGTTGCTGTTGCTGGCATGTCACTGGCCCAGCCCTGACCCTGGAAACATTTAATAAACATTGGATAACGACAGATAAGCTCTATGCAGGTGATGTTCTGGCTGTGTGTTTGTGAGACGGTGCTACATGGGAAAAGACTAGCCCAGACATTTGGGGAGTGTGTGTATGTAATACTGTGTATTCAGTCATTTTACATTGATGTAATTTAGCAGACGTTCTTATCCAGAGCGACTTACAGAAGCAATTAAGGTTAAGTGCCTTGCTCAAGGGCACATTGACAGATTTTTCTTTGGTTATTGGCCCACCGCTCTTAACCGCTAGGCTACCTGCTAGACTACCTGCTAGGCTACCTGCTAGACTACCTGCTAGGCTACCTGCTAGACTACCTGCTAGACTACCTGCTAGGCTACCTGCTAGACTACTGCTAGGCTACCTGCTAGACTACCTGCTAGGCTACCTGCTAGGGCTACCTGCTAGGACTACTGCTAGGCTACCTGCTAGGCTACCTTCTAGGCTACCTGCTAGAACTACCTGCAACTACTGCTAGGCTACCTGCTAGACTACCTGCTAGCTACCTGCTAGACTACCTGCTAGGCTACCTGCTAGACTACCTGCTAGGCTACCTGCTAGGCTACCTGCTAGGCTACCTGCTAGGCTACCTGCTAGACTACCTGCTAGGCTACCTGCTAGACTACCTGCTAGGGCTACCTGCTAGGCTACCTGCTAGACTACCTGCTAGGCTACCTGCTAGACTACCTGCTAGGCTACCTGCTAGACTACCTGCTAGGCTACCTGCTAGACTACCTGCTAGACTACCTGCTAGGCTACCTGCTAGGCTACCTGCTAGGCTACCTGCTAGACTACCTGCTAGGCTACCTGCTAGGCTACCTGCTGCAGTCCTTTCCATCTTCATCTGTTTATTCGGCTGTGTAGGGGAGAGTGGGGTAAATTGAGCAATATTTTACATTCAGCATCACTCCGTCAAGGGAAATATAGTATTTTTTTGTTCATTTAGCAGACGCTCTTATCCAGAGCGACTAGGGTTAAGTGCCTTGCTCAAGGGCACATCTACAGATTTTTCACCTAGTCGGCTGGGGGATTCAAACCAGCGACCTTTCGGTTACTGGCCCAATGCTCTTCACCGCTATGCTACCTGCCGCCCTAACAAAGATATCTACATATATTTCAGGATGTTGTGTATCCCTGGAAATAATCAGAATTCATGTAAACAGTTTTGAAAACCTATCTTGTCCAAAACAAGTGGTCTCTTTGTACAAGACGTATGGGGTAAGTTGAGCGGCGGGACAGGGTAAGTTAAGCCGCCTACACATTTCTGTACTGAATGAAATATTACCACTACGTTCTTAAAAACATGTCTTTCTTTATTTCCCAAACACAATTCAACACAATCCAATCGCTTTTTTGCCTTTTAATCATTTTAAGCATCTTATAACACAGGCTTAACACCTAACAAACACTTTGTACTTTTTAAAAACACTTTTAACATAGGCCAGGTCCTGTTGTTACCTCACATTCCAGCGATAATGCCTTGCATTACGCCTGGGAAGAACAACACTTCAATTCGCTCAACTTGGCATTGGCTCAACCATTGGCTCAACATACCCCAAGGCCATTGGCTCATCTTACCTCAAGGCAAACATTTTGACTATATTAACCCACCCAGCTACAAGGATGCACTTTCATGCTTAGGACCTCATATTGAAGCTTATAGACACCCCAACTGATGTATAGAATAACCTTTAAATGATCTACTTTGGTTTAGATACAAGCATCAGGAAACCTCTAACAATACATTCATTTGACTTTTTTTTACTTAACTTGCTTACCACTTTTTCCATGTGGTTTCCTTCTTTACAGACTCCATGAAATGATGACCTCTTCCTAAATATTTGGTCAAATTATTCATTTTGTGTATGGTTTCCTAGAAACAAGGGTGGCTCAACTAACTTCGCTCTCCCCCACCCTCTGTTTCCCAAGCCAGGGTTACCAAAACAACAGAGAGATGTTAGGTTTCCTACAGTCATCCATACTCCCCCTCCTCCTCCTACTTACAGCAGAATACCTCGACCTCTCTCTTTCCACTGTTTCCTGTCGCTCTCCTTCTTCCTCTCTCTACCACACACACTCCTCTCTCGATCGCCTTCACCTTCTCTACCTCAACTCATTTCTTTCCACCCCTGTCCCTTCCTTTAAATTCCCTGTATTTCTTGCTCTCCCTCCTCCGCTAACTCTCTAACTCTCTCTCTCTCTTTCTCTCTGGGAGGTATAGTCAGTGGGTTCGTGGGAGCATTCCACCTGGAGTGTGGTGTGTTCGCCAGCTACTGTGTGTTTGTGTTGCATTAGGCATCGCAGCCCTCACAACACTGCTGGTTCCAACAGGCTTATCCCTGCGCAACATAGCACGCAACCACTCTACTACAGCCCTACCGCTACTGTCTGAGAGACAGAGACAGAGACAGAGACAGACAGCAACCACTGCAGTTCTACAGTGAGAGAGAGAGCGAGAGTGAGAGTGAAAGTGAGAGAGGGAGCTTGGAGTGGAGACCGAGAGAAAGGAGGAGAGATAGATAGAAGGAGAGAGAAAACCTCCTTGGCTAAGCAAGTTTGATACTCTAAAGATGCCACGCTGTACACCATATATCTATGATAGATAGGTCTGTATCTGAGCTCTGGCTGTATACACTATCCCTCCCGTTGAGGACTGATCAACCTCCAGATGTATCTCTACTCACACAGAGGAGGACCTCACAGAGACCAGCCCTCACACGCTCTTACAGACACCTCTCTCTGTCTCTCCCAGGGTATTTATATCAGTTGATTAAACTTTCACTGCTTGCCTTTCCTCTGCTGAGTACACAGGAGAGGTAAACAGAACAGGGAGCTCCTCACAGAAACAAATGCTGTTTATCTGTGTTCACTTCAACAGCTAGTTTTATGCTATTGTAACTTATCATTGCTTCACATACACATGGTGCACTTAGTGTAAGTAAAATGTTGTCCCTGATCTGAACAGAGGCCAGGTACCACAACGCTCTGACCACACAGCTAGTGGAGGACAAAGTTAAGCCAGCCAACAGGACAACCACAGACATTCTGGAAGCATGATTGGGAAAGTAAGTGGAAAGGTTTGTGGCAAGGCACAAGCGCACATACTCAAACATGCGCACACACACACACACACACACACACACACACACACACACACACACACACACACCAGTCCTAGATTGCAATCTTTGGATTCCTTCATACTGTGGTTTGCCCCAGCACATTGATGAACCTAGATATATGGTCATATAGAATAGAGTGAATCGTACCTATGTTGCCGCATCGCGTCTGACCCTGGCTGGCTACCAACCCCTCTGTGTGTGTGTGTGTTTCTCGTGGGGTTGGGTTAAAAGCAAAATATGCATTTCCATGATCGGAAAAGAAAATGGATGATAAAGTATTTTTCTTGTCTAGAAAAACTCCAGGCCCTTGTATATGAGATCAGCACCGATGACACTGCACCTCCACTCACCAAGGTAGTATGATGACCTGGAATAACCTCTGCTGGACTGGAGTCAGAGCAGCAGACACACCTGCAACACCCAGCCTGGCCTGCAGAGGGCAGCATTACCTCAGTCTCCCCTCAGGAGTCACCCCTCAGGAGTCTCCCCTCAGGAGTCTCCCCTCAGAAGTTCCCCCTCAGAAGTCTCCCCTCAGAAGTCTCCCCTCAGCCACAGAGGCAGCACAGCCACAGTCCATCAACAGCCATACCTCGAAAGAGTTCATCCTTTCAGGTTTCAACCAAGAAGCTTATGATGCTCTTAGACGTAGACAACATCACATAATTCCATGGCAGCCATGTTAGTGCCTTCCAGGCAATGTTCTGTAAGGACTAACTCTGACAAAATCAAACTCACAGTCTGCACCCGACAGCAAATGTGTTACATCAGAAACTTATGTAAGCAAACATTAATTTAGAGCCTGATTGCAAGTAGAGAAAATGGGTGCATCTCAATAGTGTGTGGTTTCCTCTCCTCATCTCCTTTACTCCAGTTCCAGTGAAAATTAAAGAACTGGTTCTGGTTGGCTTCTTTCATGTTGGTTTCACTTTTCTCATGTTATCAGAGTAGATAGAGGAGAGGAAAGGACGCCAATTCAGACTGTTGATATTTACTCCATAAGAATCTATGGGAATCTGTGCAGCTGTGGTGCTATACTACAATACAGCACAAATTAAATATACAGCAAGGACATATTTCATGAGAAATTGTAAAGACCATGATAACAATCTCAGCAATATGATGCAGATGAGGAAGAAAAGGTCAAGGTCAAGGAGAGAGGGGGAGGAGATAGGAGTGTGATGCTGTTTACTGTTTTATTTTTTGCAACACTTTAGCCTCAATTCGTCGGGGCATGCTCTATAAGGTGTCGAAAGCGTTCCACAGGGATGCTGGCCCATGTTGACTCCAATGCTTCCCTCAGTTGTGTCAAGTTGGTTGGATATCCATTGGGTGGTGGACCATTTTTGATACACACAGGAAACTGTTGAGCGTGAAAAACCCAGCAGCGTTGCTGTTCTTGACACACTCAAACCGGTGCGCCTGGCACCTACTACCATACCTCTTTCAAAGACACATTAATATTGTGTCTTGCCCATTCACCCTCTGAATGGCACACATACACAATCCATGTCTCAATTGTCTCAAGGCTTAAAAATCCTTGAGTGGATTTAACAAGTGACATCAATAAGGGATCATAGCTTTCAGCTGGATTCACATGGTTAGTCTTTTTATTTATATATTTGTTATTTTTTTGAAGGGTGATTGCCTATTCATGCTTTGAGATGATTTTTTTGTTCTTGAACTGTTCTTGGATTGGATTTTGACTTCCTTATTTACATTGGACATTGAGACTTTGGAGAGGATTATATATGAACTTTTTAATTGAAAGAATGTTAATTGTTTATTTGATTGAAATCTAATAGTTACAATGTACTCATCTTTGCTCTCATATTGACACAGTATTTCTTTGAACTTTAAAAGGGTAACTGGGTTTGTGATACAAGCTGAAGGAGGATATAAAGAAGATAGAAAAGGAAGACAAGGTGGATGAGGAGCTGAGTAGTTGGAGGAGAGGAGAAAGAGGGGAGGAGGGAGGGAAAAGAGAAGAGAAAAGAGGGAGAGGATAGGAGAGAGTTGGATAGATGCAGAGGAGATGGGCTGAGATGAGGAGAGGAGACAAGGAGGAGGAAAAGGAGAGAGGCGAGGGGAAAGAGGAGGTGGGGGAATGAGGAGTGAGACAGAGGAGGAAAGAGGATGTGGGGGAATGAGGAGTGAGACAGAGGAGGAAAGAGCAGGTGGGGGAATGAGGAGTGAGACAGAGGAAGAAAGAGGAGGTGGGGGAATGAGGAGTGAGACAGAGGAGGAAAGAGGAGGTGGGGGAATGAGGAGTGAGACAGAGGAGGAAAGAGGAGGTGGGGGAATGAGGAGTGAGACAGAGGAGGAAAGAGGAGGTGGGGGAATGAGGAATGAGACAGAGGAAAGAGGATAAAGAGGAAGCTCCCCTAGTCAGAACATAAACTGTCTCACCCCAGTAGAGTCAGGTCAAACCAACAAACAACAGCAACACTCACTCAGACTGACCCTACAAGTGAACTCTGACCCTAACACCTGAACCCTGGCCTTCACTCTTAGCTGCTGATGCTCATATACACAGTCTGACTCTTTCCCAAGCTAAACTCATACCCCATCATGGCTGCTGTGGAGCAGGGAAACTGTGTAGGCCTACATGAACAGAGCCGCTGGATCCATATTGAATTTACAGAAAATGCTTTTGCCATATGTCATGAGGGTGTCAGTACATCATTCAATTACATACAGTACATAAAGTTCAGTCTGTCCAAATATACCTTACTAGTCAGTTTGCAAAAACAAACCCATCCTGTTTCAAATAAAATCTGAAATATGGTTAACATATGCTCTGTGAAGATTTGAAACCAGCGAGTTCAGAAGTCCAAAGAAAATGATCAACACATTCTCTGTCTGCATTGTTTTCCTATGTAGCGTTTCTGATATCTAAATGCCGATATGTGATGACAAACACTTGTCAAGTTCCTGTTATTGTTTATGATGTAATTACTGTGTTTTATGGTAACTGTTTTAGCCTTGTGAGTTCTCGGCAAAGGAATAGAACTACAATATGAACTAATTACTTCATTATTTGAAATTTCAGTTTGTCTTTGACAGAAACATTGATTTATGATTTAGGAATAATTTATTATATTCTATTCTTCTCTCTGGCAGGAACAGAACCCTATTCTATTTCAGCATGGTGAGATCCAGGAGGGAGGCGACAGTCTATTGTTTAAGTCCCTATCTAAATTTGTGACCAATAATGCTTAAAATAGCCGTGCTCTCATCCATTTAACCATACACACACCACCTGCCAAGCTAGCCCCTTACCGCAAAACTCAATCCCGCTGCCATGACGCATAGACAAGCACACACACATGCACATACACACGCACAGACGTATATGTGTGTGTGTGTTAGCGATGGGGTCATGGTGTGGGCAGAGACTGTTATTTTTAGGGGAAAATGAGCACTAGTGGAGACAGCAGCAGAGCAGGCACCAGGCAGAGCATAAAAATACACTCACACACTCACTTACACACACACCCACACACACACACACACACACACACACACACACACACACACACACACACACACACACACACACACACACACACACACACACTCAGTAGAGAAGAGAAGAGGCAATAAAAGCCATGAAATTAACCTCCCGCCTGGTGCTCTAATCCCCTGGCCCCAACAGGTTGAGACTTCTGTGTGTGTGTGTGTGTGTGTGTGTGTATGTGTGTGTTTCATCAGACATCCACCTTGTCCCTCTTCCCTTTCTCCTCTTATCCCCCCCCCTTTGTTGTCAGTCAATGCAGTTGTGCTTTTCTCTGTTATTATTAGGGCTATATGTTAGCCTGTGGGTTATCCTGTATTAGCCATAGCGTATTAGCGTGAGCGGCAGGGGGTCTGGGGACAGGCCGCTGACAGGAGGACAGGAATGTGACAACACGACTACAGCTTCATCACACCACTTCGTCACCACTGGTATTTGTGTTTGCAGTGTCTGTGTGCGGTGTGTGTGTGTCTGTTTGCAGTGTATGTGTGTGGTGTGTCTGTGTCTGTTTGCAGTGTCTGTGTGTGGTGTGTGTGTGTCTGTTTGCAGTGTGAGGCGCCACACTGTAGCACAACGCCAAGGTCCCTGCTTTCTCTGGTTACTCATCAGCTGCCATCTCTTTATCACCTGCCTGACGCACACTGACCATGCCCTTATAGTCTATTGAACACACACACTCACACACCAATGCTGCTCAAAGGTGCCACCGCTCACAGCGTGTAAACCCTCATCAGACAATCTAGAGAATCCTGAACGGTTTTGTCATTTGACAGAGAGAACATGGTGCAGTAAAATAAAAACATAGTCTTTATCATAACAGACTAAGTTTAATGTTTCATTGTCTTTGAACTTATAAGTACCAATAGTTCAGCTTTAACTAAAAGAGCATGACCACAGTATATTCTCTAATTTCTTTACAACAACCCTGACAGCATATCATTTCAACACATTTATTACAATCAGCAGGTTCATGGTCTGCTTGGTTCAATCATCACTGACATTGGTCCTCAAAGGCTAATGGGCTTTACCAAGTTAAAGGAGTTACATGTAGAATTTTTGCATTGTAATTTCAGAAAATGTCCATAATATATAGTTGAAGTCGGAAGTTTACATACACTTAGGTTGGAGTCATGAAAACTCGTTTTTCAACCACTTGTCACGCCCTGATCAAGAGAACTCTCGTTGGTTGGGTCAGGGTGTGAATTTTCTGTTGAGATCTATGTTACAGTGTATTTCTATGTGATAGATCTAGGTTGTATTTCTATGTTTGGCCGGGTGTGATTCCCAATCAGAGACAGCTGTCGCTTGTTGTCTCTGATTGGGGATCATACTTAGGTAGCCTGGTTGCCTACCTTAGTTGTGGGATCTTGTTCCGTTTAGGCTTGTATGTGTATAGCCGGAGGACTTCACGTTACATTGTTTCTTGTTTTGTTGTATGTTTATTTAGTTACGCTTTTCACGCTGCACCTTGGTCTGACCCGTCTCTCAAAGTTTGTGACAGAAGATCCCACCACAAAAGGACCAAGCAGCGTGCCGAGAAGGAGCAAACGCCTGGGACTCAACAGGAGGTAACCTTAGTAGATGTCCTCCTCGGTTGGGGGAGGATTACTGAGGAGGAGGCCGTCCGTTATCGGAAGGCGATGAAGGAGAGTGTAGCCGATAAAGGATCTTGGGCGAAGGAGGAAGCCCGGGTAGGAGAGGATCAACGACGACGCCAACGGGACCAACCGCTGAGGAAGCCCGAGAGGCAACCCCAATAATATTTTTTGGGGGGCTAGAAGGGTGGTCGGGGATCGAGAGAGAAGAGCCCCGACCACTGCACCCGGTGGGGTTCCAGTTGGAGTCCCTACGACCATGGGAACAGGAATGGGAACAGTTTTACACTGAGGAGTCGGAGGATGACTACTTCCTTCCCTAACTCGTGGGGGCTCCCGGAGGAGTCCTCACTGGAGGAGGATTGGCGAGAGAGAGAGAAGGACTGTAGCAGTCTGAGAGAGGAGGCCACCACGTTACAGGGGCTGTTAGCTCAGAGGGAGCAGGAGTTATCCGTTCAGAGGGAGGCGCTACAGGAGGCTCTAAGGGAGAAGGAAGTAGTGGAGGCACGGAGCGAGGAGCTGGTCAGGCAACAAAAGGAGCGTGTGTTCATTCCAGTGCGCCAGTGCGCATTCACAGCCCAGTGCATCCAGTGCCAGCGCCCCGCACGTGTCGTGCGAAAGTGGGCATCCAGCCAGGATGGGTTGTGCCGGCTCAAAGCTCCTGGTCTCCAGTGCGCCTCCACAGTCCAGTATATCCTGCGCCAGTCCTACGCACTGTGTCGCCAGTGCGCGTTCACAGCCCAGTGCGTCCTGTGCCAGCGCCCCGAATGTGTCGTGCGAAAGTGGACATCCAGCCAGGATGGGTTGTGCCAGCTCCCCGCACCAAACCAGTGGTGTGTGTATCCAGTCTAGTACGGCCTGTACCCACTCCCTGCACCAAACCAGTGGTGCGTGTCTCCAGCCTGGTACGGCCCGTACCTGCTCCCCGCACCAAACCAGTGGTGCGTGTCTCCAGTCCGGTACGGCCCGTACCTGCTCCTCGCACCAAACCAGTGGTGCGTGTCTCCAGTCCGGCCCGGCCCGTTCCTGCTCCTCGCACCAGACAAGTGGTGCGTGTCTCCAGTCCGGCCCGGCCCGTTCCTGCTCCTCGCACCAGACATGTGGTGCGTGTCTCCAGTCCGGCCCGGCCCGTTCCTGCTCCTCACACCAGACCTGTGGTGCGTGTCTCCAGTCCGGCCCGTTCCTACTCCTCGCATCAGACCAGTGGTGCGTGTCCCCAGTCCGGCCCGTGCCTGTTCCTCGCACCAAGCCAGGGGTGCGTGTTCCCAGTCTAGTACGGCCTGTACCCGCTCCCTGCACCAAACCAGTGGTGCGTGTCTCCAGCCTGGTACGGCCCCTACCTGCCCCCCGCACCAAACCAGTGGTGCGTGTCTCCAGTCCGGTACGGCCCGTACCTGCTCCTCGCACCAAACCAGTGGTGCGTGTCTCCAGTCCGGCCCGGCCCGTTCCTGCTCCTCGCACCAGACATGTGGTGCGTGTCTCCAGTCCGGCCCGGCCCGTTCCTGCTCCTCGCACCAGACATGTGGTGCGTGTCTCCAGTCCGGCCCGGCCCGTTCCTGCTCCTCACACCAGACCTGTGGTGCGTGTCTCCAGTCCGGCCCGTTCCTACTCCTCGCATCAGACCAGTGGTGCGTGTCCCCAGTCCGGCCCGTGCCTGTTCCTCGCACCAAGCCAGGGGTGCGTGTTCCCAGTCCGGCACGGCCCGTGCCCGTTCCACCGGTGCCTGGTCCAGCACCGGTCAGCTGCTCCACTCCGGAGTCAGAGCAGCCCACTCCACCGGTGCCCAGCTCCGGTCAGCTCCAGTCAGCGGCTCCATTCCAGAGCCAGAGCAGTCCGCTCCACCGGTGCCCAGTCCAGCTCCGGTCAGCGGCTCCACTCCGGAGTCAGAGCAGTCCGCTCCACCGGGGTCCAGTTCAGCTCCGGTCAGCGGCTCCACTCCGGAGCCAGAGCACTCCACTCCACCGGTGCCCAGTCCAGCTCCGGTCAGCGTCTCCACTCCGGAGCCAGAGCAGTCCGCTCCACCGGGGTCCAGTTCAGCTCCGGTCAGCGGCTCCACTCCGGAGCCAGAGCAGTCCGCTCCATCGGGGTCCAGTTCAGCTCAGGTCAGCGGCTCCACTCCAGACCCAGAAGTCAGCCCCTCTCCAGGGTCGGGGCCTCACACACCAGGGTCCAGACAGGGCTTGGTGCATTGTGGGAGGATTGCCGATCCAGGCCCAGACGTCAGCCCCTCTCCAGGTTCGGGGTCTCCCACACCAGGGTCCAGACAGGGCTTGGTGCATCGTGGGAGGAAGGAGAGGGGAAGCATCACGCCGAGGTCCAGGCCAGACCAGGGGCGCAACGGGGAGGCAGAGAGGGAGAGGTCGTCACACCCGGAGCCGGATCCGCCTCCGAGGCTGAATGCCCACCCGGACCCTCCCCTAATGAGTCAGGTTGGTGCGGCCGGAGTACGCATCTTTGGGGGGGGGTACTGTCACGCCCTGATCAAGAGAACTCTCGTTGGTTGGGTCAGGGTGTGAGTT